CCCCAAAACCCCAAAACCCCAAAACCCCAAAACCCCAAAACCCCAAAACCCCAAAACCCCATTTCCCATCTATGAGATTGAATTAATTGTTATCCTAATATAACAATACTTTGGTTGTAAATGTAATTGTTTACTCCTGGATATTCCATAGACCTTCTTCTCTTTCTTTTCTTTTTAGATTTTCTTACTTTTCTTGCAGCACTTTTCACTCTCTTAGGCCTGCTTTGATTCTTTCTCTTTGATTTTATAAGGGATTTTATGTCGGCATTTAATTTCACCATTTTCTTTAAAGGAGATTTCATGTAGTTTAGCTAATAAAAATATGAGATGTAGATTTATAAAATTGTACAGGAATATTTCAGAAATTGTTTGGACAATTTTTATAAATAATTTAAGAAACCTAATTTTGAAAAGGATAAGATGACAAATTATTTGTCTTGATTGCTTACTTTTAATTTTCTGTGTCCCTTATAATTTTCGATATTAGGGTATAATGATTTACTTTGAGATTTATACAAGTCTGCCTTCTTTTCTACTGTTTTCACCATTTTTCTTTTTAAAATTTTCTGTTTGTTTACCTCTCCTTTCAAATTTTTATTCTGAAGAGGTAGCTTTCTAATTTTTATTCTTGAGCCTGATGTAGTTCAGTTATGTACAACTCTATTTCTCACATCTAAAACTTAAACTCTAGCCACCAACTTCTAGATTTAACATCTGGAACCTGCTTAACCTTAATATCATCTTTCTCAGAACCCCCTGACACAGATGTCCTACCAAAACTACTCTCAAACAACGAATTTTCCTCCTCTAACACCTTGCCATCATTCTCTCCTCTGAATCCCTCCCCCATACTCCCTCTCTGCCTATCCTCTCACTGGCGCCCTATTTTTCCAGACCTCTCCTTCCCTATTCTCTTCTGCTGCACTCCATTCAAATTAGACTAGAAAATTAGACAGGAAAGGTACTTGAGCCAGAAGGTTTTTGGAACTACTGTTATTTCTTGAAAGAGCCGTGAGGTCGAGGATGAGGCTTGTCGAGGTTGGAGATTTGGAGATCGGTGATAGTGGAGAGGCGCAGGAGAGAGCTTGCCTTGAGAGTGGATCTTTTGGAGCGGGAAGGGGTCAGGTGGGGGATGTGGGAGAGGGACATTGCGGTACCGATTTTGGACTTGAGGATGTTCCTTCGTTGTTGGAGGAGCTTTTTATTTGGTACGATGACGGATCATGCTAGAGTTGTGAGAGGAGGAAGCTCCAGAGTATTCTTTAGATTCTTCTTTGATTTCTTGGTTTGTAAGATATTCGCCTAAATTTAAGAGAATTTCAATCAAATTTAGTCTTACTTTGTGGATCTGTAACAGTAAAATTAGCATCTTGAAGTAGCATTGCCATTTTCAAATTTGGAGGAAGGTTTATTTCTCCTCAAGACGAGCATCAGCAGCTTTTCCTTCTCATACTAGTAATGGACTTTAAGCTTTGTAGTCCAGTTTCACTTCTTTCATGTTGAATATTTTCAACAATTTTATCTCCGGAAGATATTTTGATGTCAATTTGTTTAGAACTTTGAGTTTTATTTAAGCAATCGTCTTGGCTTTAAGTAATTTTTCCGTTGAACTTTCTTAATTGTTTCTACTGAAAATAAATTGAGAATAAATGCTTATGAAATATTACCTTCATTGCTTTCTTCAACGGTGACAGCTCTTCGGAGGAGCTCAATTTGTTTCTTATTTTGTTAGAGACTTAAGATATTCAAACACATGTATTTTCTCATTTTGAGTATCATTCTTAGGCTTTGTACTCTTTATTTTTCTATTTTGTTATCAAATAGACATACTTAGTGAGTTTGATGCTTTCAAGTGGAGCTGATAGTTTATTTGCTTGATTCAGTCTTTATTCGATCTTCAGCTTCTTTGTATAAATGATTGACTATATTCTGAAGTCTTGTCTTATATTTATTCTCAAATGGAGCAGCTATTCCTAAAAAAAACGATTTCCATCCATTATTATTTTGGTTTGTTGTCATCTATTTTTATTAAAAATTGTACTGTGTAAATCTTGCTTAAAGGTTTGCATTAGCGATTCAGCTTCCTATATTTTAGGTTTTATTTGTTTGACAATAAATGATCCAACGAATTATCTAAATGACTGTTGAAGTACCTTTTCATTCAAAGCTTCCATCTTTTTGAGCTTTAGATTTTTAGGTTCAGCAGTCTATTGAATGACTTAGAAATTTGTTTACTTTCTTCCCTGAGGTGTGTTGAACATTTGTTAGTCTTGTGCTGCTCATGAAATAGTTCTTTTTCATCATTATTTTGTAAATTTTATTTCAATCTTCAGACATCTAAAGGGGTTTTGGGGTTTTGGGGTTTTGGGGTTTTGGGG